GGTCTGCTCCTCAGGGCCAAAGGCACCTGTGGATGACATCCCCCTGCCTTGTTCCGGGGCAACACGCTCCACCTCGCGCTGTTGGGCCGCCAGGCAGGGCAGCTCCTGCAGGAGAGAAGCCGGGAAAGGGTTCCTGCTCTGGTTCAGCAGGAACTTAGTGTTGAGGTACCTGTCCCTGAGGTCCTCGATTTCCTCAAACTCCATGTCCTTAAGCGGGGTCTCTGGGTTAAAGACGTTCATCTCCAGAGCAGCACGAAGTTTGGGGCCCCAGGTGTCAATGGGCTCCGCCATCGGCTTAAGGAGTCTGGAGCGTGTCTCCCCTTCCTCCTGCATGCGCTTGTTGGAAGCCTTGGCCTGGTCCAGGGAGCGGCAAAAATTCTTCACCCAAGTAGTTGCGCTGAGGAGAGACCGCAACTTCTGCGTGTCCAGGTGGCGAAGCACCGAGGCCCCCCGAGGCGTCCTCCACTTCGTGCGCCCCCGCCTGCATTTGCGTGATCACATCTAGCTGGGGGTTGATCCGGTCAGAGAACTCCTCCTCCGTGAGCTTATCGGAGCGCTGGTCCACTGGCCCCGCGCTCTTCTTCTTGATTTCCATTGCCGCGGCCAGCTGTGGGTGGAAAACACGAGTTGCCTGGCTGGGCGTCCAATCCTCTTCAATGTGCGGTCGGTCCCCAGCCGTCTTCTTTGCAAACTGCACCTCGTCAAAAGGCTGGCTGGCCACAGTGTGGGCCAAGCTAAGCCTCAGGGCCATAGGCACCTCATCGGCAAACCTCCTTCTTGTCCGTCGGCCGGGGTGGTGGCTGGGCCCAGGAACCAATGTGGACTGAAGCGGCCTCCTTCTGGGCCTCGTCGGCATCGGTGTGCCAAGTGACCCCCCTGAGGACCGCAAAACATGTACTACGAGGCCAAACCCAACTTAATCTCAGCCGACGGGGGGCCCTTGTCCACCGCGATGACATTCTTCTGGCACAGCTTGCACTTGCCCTGCACCTTATTGTCGGGCCGCTGCCAGTCGGAAAAGCAGCTAGGGCACATGAGCATGGTGGTGGTACTGCCCGGGTCGAGCTGCCCAAGGCTGCCATGGCCTACACCAGCTCTGGCTTTGCTGAAGGGTGCGGCCAACATCTTCTCTTGGGCAATCTGGCGCTTGTAGATTTGGTATACCTCCAACACCCGCTCTACCGCCGATCTTGTCCAAAACTCCCGTCTGCAGCTTGGAAGACAAGGCCGCAATCTCTTCCTTGGTGAGCTGCTTGGCCAAATCAGCACTCTTCTTGCCAATGCCCGGGAAATTCTCAGGGAAGCCCTCGATGTGGAACACCGTTTCCTCCAAGGTGCCAGAGGGAAGGGCAGAGAACGGACGAGAGGAAGAGGGATATCCAACACCCATGGCATGATCACCGACATCCCCTCAGGGACGAAGTCACCTGGGGCAGCCGTAGTGTCCACCGGGTCTGTGTCCATGGCCGCTGCTGTGGTGTCCTCAAAGGGCCCCCGCTCAACCTGTCGGGGTAGCCTCCTCCTGGATCACCACCTTCTCGTCCCCCTTGGTCAAGAGGCGAGCCATGGCTGCATTCATCTCCCGAAGCCGCTCGTCCAGGGATGTGTCATCAACATCAAGAGCAGTAAAGGAGGCCAAAGCAGCATTAGCCTCTTCATCCTCATGGGCCGACAAGTTGTGTACCAGGGTGGCACGAGCAACCGCCACATCATCACTCACCTTCTCCCAATCCTCATGGTCGCTGTCCCCGGTGGAGCGAGGGGGAACCAGGCTTTCAACGGTCTCCATGCTGGAGGCCAAAACCTCATCAACACTGGCGGCGGGGGTGAACGACATGATCACTGGTCGCAAAGAGAGAAAGCGGGAGCGAAAG